GTTTAGGGATGGTGCTGCTGAATAATTAAGGGTGAAAACATCATGTGGTAGGCCGTAGGCTAGCAATTTTCTTTAGATAAACAATGCATACAATAAGGTTACGGGTTTCAGTTGTGGAAACAGTTTTTTAGTAAAGTAAATGTAAAGTTGCGTACGATAGACGTTTCTCCTTGATCCTTGCAAAGCGGGGAACCTTTTTGACTTGGGATCACTATTTTTTTTTATTTTAAACAATGCAAACCAAACAAACATTGGTTAGAGTGGATGTGCTCTTTTTATAATTTTGAGTTCAAACTCTTTTTTCTGTAAGTTGGATTAGTGTAAAGTAAATATCAATTGTCTACGAAAAAGAATAAACACTATCAATTACCTAATTCTCTAAACATACAATCTCAGCACAATACAGCGGACGCACGCTATAATATTTGTACCAAACATGAAGGCACTTGTGAGAACTAAGAAGTTGTTACTATAATGTTCGTAATTGGATATATTTTCATTTGATTTAAATACAAAAATGTTTATTTTTTTGGTGGGAAAAGTTAGTGTGTTGTTTGTGCATGCTTAAACTACTAAACTAATTAATCACTCAAATCAGCAGTTGGGTTTGATTATTAGGAAAATGACCGAAAGCTTAAAAGAATCTTGTAACAGCCGCTAAAATCGACCCCTTAAAAGGTGGGATATATATTTTGCTTATTGACTCATCTTCCTAATTTACACAGAGTAGACGTCCTATTTAGTAACACAAGACGCTCTTGTATAATTTCCTGAAGTACTTTCTACACAAAAGGTTATTTTCCTGAGTTTTACCAAGCATTTGAAAGTGTTTTTTTTTTTTTTTTTTTTTTAAGAAACACTTGCTCTAGGAAGCTTTTGAAGTTTAATAAAAAAAAAATCCTGCTGCTAAGGGCTGGTTTGGTATTGCTGTGCTTTGAAAAAAAACTGATTCTGCTGTGCTGTGAGAATAAGCGGCTGTGAAATAAAGCAGCAGAGTGTTTGGTAAACTTTTTTGTAAAAGTGCTTTTGGAAAAAAAAAAAAACAGTATTATAGTATTCGGTAAACTTTTATGTAAAACAGATGTGAAAAAAAACCGATTTTTCAAAGCTGGGTTTTGTAAATTCTTGTTTTTGGTTTTTTTTCACCCAAAACTGTGAAAAAAGCTGAAGTTGAATGTTTACCAAACACAAAAACAGCTCCCAGCTTTTTTTGATACCAACTTTTTTCAGAATCACATCAGTACCAAACCAGATCTAAATACAATACTTTTAGTAAAAGCGCTTTCGTACCGAAAAAAATCAGTAAAGAAACACTTTCAAACAAAACATTAATGGGCTTCAAACTTCATTAAAAATATGGGTAGACTCCAAAAGGCCCAGGATTGTCCAATACGAAGTCCGTGGGCCGGACTCCGCACTGTATAAATGTATCCAAGTTCAAACGGAGGAAGAGCAGAGTTCCTGCGAAAACGATGGAGTGTGCCGGCAAGTGACTGGGAACTAGGTGCACGGGCCCACCCACCAGACGATGTGTTCGCTGTGGAGCCGTCGCTTTCTGCTCCGTATCTCACCAGGTACTTCTCTGAGTCTCTCTCTTCGATTTTTGGTGCTTTAAGTAAATCATGCAATCGTAATCATGGTTTTAGATTTAATTTAAGATAATAGCAATTGGGTTAATCTTAATTTCTGCAGAAATGGTCTGTGTGGAAAGGATAAATGGATTTAAATTATTTGTTGAGTTGGGCTTAGGGTGTTGATTTGGTAATGCAGCTCTCAACAAAATTGTATTGCAGCTGAGCTAATAGGACTGCTCATTCCTTACTTCTCTTTTTTTCATTATTATTTTTTTCTTCAGAAAATTAATGAAAAATACTTGAAAACTTTGAGTTTTAAGTATAAGGATAAAATAAAGGGTAAAATGAATAATAATTTTTAGTGTAAAAATGTGATTTTTCGTTAAAGTAGTTTCGAGAATTTTTGTTAAAAGTTTTTTTTTGTTTTTTTTTTTCAACAATATGATATTCTAAACTATTTTAATCTACAAGGGGGGTTTTGAACTTGGGTACAAAGGGTCAGGGCACACTGTTCTAACTAACGGGCTTTACCGCGTATTGTAATTCATTGGTGTTGAATGCTGTTCACTTGGTGAGGCTTCGTTTACCTCTAACTTTCAATGGCTTAAAATTCATATGCTTGACATGATTTTCTTCGACCATATAAATTTTTCTCCTAGATTGCGCATTGGCCCGATCATAAAGAAGAGTGTGGAAGGCTAGAGCAACATATGAAGCACATGGATATCTTGAATGAGTTTCCTTTCACTTTTACTCAACAAGCTACTGTTCAGGTAATCAACAATTTCTATGTAAGACGGAGAGCATTGAGTTGTGCCGTTTCTGTTATCTGAGTGGCGTCGTTGATAATATCTCTTTTGGTGTGATCTTGTTAGGTGTGTGTAAAGCAGGAGACGAGGTGTTCAGTCTTGGAAAAAATAGGGGTCCATCAAACGGGAATGTGGTTGTGGGGATTCAGTTATTTCATTTGATTGTTTAAGGTTCTTTCTACCTGGTGCATCTGAATTTCTCTGTATTCTATTGTTTTCCACATTGATTCTAATTCCGGTCCGTTATATCTTACTATTTGCAGGTTAAATAATTCTTGGGATCTCTCGAATATATTTTGCCCTTGTACTGGTATCGTCTTGTTCATCTTATAAGATAATTTAAGAGAAGTTGATGTTTATAGATTTATGACTTACATTTGCAGATCCTCTATTTATAATATCAACATGCAGATCCTTCTGTAACGATATCTGAGTGTTTAACCAGTTGGAAGGAGTACTGTGAGTGGAGGTCCATCCCGCTGCATTCACCTGTTGCATTGCTTCTCCATTGGGTATGAAAGGTGTTTTAGTTGAGTGTTAGAATTTGTGTATAAAATCAAACCCGAACAATTTGTAACCTGTTGGGAGTATGCATATTAAGGAAAGATACCTAGTTGGCTTGAGTACATGGGAGTCTAATTTAAGTTTTGCTCCCATCCAAATTCATGAGTCCAATTTAAATGCTGTAGGCCTGCTCGTTTTGGGATGTGTGGATATTTGTTAAAATTATTAACATCCGGATTTTCATTTCAGCCTCGTACAATTTACTATGCCACTCAAGTGGCTGGTTTGGGAAGCTGGACTTCTGGAATAAGCAACAACTTGTACATACACTATCTTGGTATGTGTTTCCTTCAAATTTCTAACTTATTACAAATTTTTAACTGTCATCATGGAAGTTGTCGGGTTTGATATCTATGATTTACTATAATTGTTACATTGAAATTTCAATACATGAACTGAACTTGTCAGGCCCTGAGAAAGAGCTTCTTCAGCTTTCTGTCTTCTCAGAGTTGCGTGTGCTTTTCCCCAACATGATAGAGCTTGTTGGGCCTTCCATTCCACAGCATAGGTTGGTTCTACAGTTTGATATGATTTTTTGCTTGGTATTCATACACATTCCTTTATTTTATTGAACTTCACTCATGAGGATAAAACAAGGATTGCTTAATTGTGTTTGCAATCTTGTGGAGAAATGATCTCTCATTCATATTTGATTCTCCCTGTACTCTTTGAGATGGATAGGGATGGCGAGATGGTCACGTTATCCAATTATGCACATGGCCTTGATAGAGATTGCATTTGTAAATCCTCAAGTGAGACTGTCAGCGGGGATGTACATACTAGTGAAGTGAACCTTCAGTAGTTACATTGCAGCTTAGAAGCGGCTTTTATCATGACCGTTACATGGATATAACTAAGGTTGTATTCTTGTCTCTTTCAATGGACATAAATTCATGCTAAGAATCATGTGTTTTCTCTTTAGCCTTATCGGTTTTCCATTTTGCAGTTTCTCATGACTTCTTAAATGTGTGCAGGATTTATCCCCTCACTTAGACCTTGCTCCAAATGCAGAAAATGCTGCCTATTCAAGCTGGTCACCGACTATTGTCAGTTTTTGATACCTAATCATCTCTTGTTTTGGTTCCGTTATTTTAATCCTTTTCTCTTAATTTAGTTGGTTGCATGGCTGTGTGTTTCAGGAGTTAATAAAGAATATGAACATCCCAGCGGTATTTTCCGATTACTGCAAAGAAGCTTGTCATCTTGGAGCTCGTTGCGTAAGCAGCGTAACTGGCCATCCCCTCGATATCCCTGTGCGTCACCCTTACTCAACTGTTATTATAGTATTGCATTAAACCGTAACTGCTTAATCTGTTCATACCAAAATTCATGCCTCTGCCTTGTAGATTCAGTTAAATCCATTGAGGCAACCGATGGCGGTGGAAGACAGTGTTCTTGTTCTTCCTTGCTACTCAGATTGATTCCTCTATGGGATGTCAAATTGGTCGGCCTAAAATCATATGCATTGTTTTAAAGATCGCCGAGTCTCTTGACGAAAAGGAGGGCAAGGTATCAAGGTAGATGAGACCCGTTTCGCAACGATGTTCTCTTCGAATGGTGGTCAGTTTGTATGACATCAATTGTATACTTTCAGTTCATGATGTATATATCTATTGTATGCAGTTAGAGCTTGGCTGATGTAGTACATTCCTGTCAAAATTAACTAACTCAGTTTGCCTCACGTAATTCTAATTCATCTCTCTACTTAGCTCATCATATCGACTAAACTCGAAATTTAATGTGTTTTTCTTTTAGCTTTTTTCGATTAAAAATGTGTGCGCGTTGTTTTTTATAATTATTTTACGTAAAAGTTTTTCAAACAACGCATTTTTAAAGATGAAGTCATTCTTGATTTTCACGATTAAGGACTTCAGAATACTTATGGAGAAACGGTGTCGTTTCACACTGATCATCCAACGGACCTAACAGAACGTAGCCAGCATTCCCGTGGGAACGTCCGAACTACCCAAAACAAAATCAAAGTCGGTCAATGAAAATCCAAAAATAAACCCAAAATTCCAAAAATAATTTCTAAAAAATTCCAGCAAGAACCAACATGGATAATCACCACCTCTTTCAACTCCATTGTTGACCGACGTCTTCGCTTCACGTCCCCAGATTCTAGGGTTAGGGATAGGGTTAGGGTTAGGGTTAGGGTTAGGGCTCTCTCTACCGGAAAATCCCATCCATCCAACCACCAATCAATGTCTCTATTTTCCCCCATTCCACGGCTGCTATTAGTTCTGTTATGCTTACTAGGGTTAGGGTTAGGCTTTGGGGACGCTCTGAAGGTGCCCCTTAGGATCAAGGACGTGCTTCCGGTTCTGCCGAGGCAGATATCGTGGCCGGTGCTCAACAATTTCCATAGTGCTGTGGATTTGTTGCCTTCTTTTATTGGGGCGGTGACTCCTGATAACAGCTCGATTCAATGGGAAGGGGCTTGCTTTTCCGGTAACCAGGCCCGGCTCGAGTTCACCGAAGGCGATCGGGGTAAATCCGATTTGGGAGGTGGCGTTCTCTATCTAAAGGTTCGATATTTTGCTTTTGTTCTATAAATTTTGAAATTTGGTAGTGTTTGGGTAATTGAATGCATTTCCGACAATTTTCATTGGTTTTGTTTTCAACTGAGTAAATGGCAAGCTGAAATCAGTTTATGGTATTCATGGTTTGGACTTTAAGTTGTAGAATTTATTGTTGATGGGGATGGTTTATCAAACTTTAATCTGCAGACTTCTGAGGCACACAGCTGGGCCTGTATGGATCTTTATGTTTTTGCAACACCGTATCGTATTACATGGGATTATTACTTCTCTGCTCGAGAACATACTTTGAAGTTCGACTCGTGGGAAGAATCTGCAGAGTTGGAATATGTATGAAATTCATCTGTAATCTGTTTCGATAATCTAGGAAAACTTATTTGATTCGAGTTGACACACTGTGATGACTGTTGAGCAGGTAAAGCAGCACGGGGTCTCTGTGTTTCTCATGCCATCAGGGATGCTGGGGACAATGCTGTCTTTGATAGATGTTTTGCCTCTGTTTTCTAACACTGCGTGGGGTCAAAATGCAAACTTGGATTTTTTGAAGAAGCACATGGGTGCAACATTTGAAAAACGTTCTCAGCCGTGGCAAACAACCATAAATCCCGCAGATGTTCATTCTGGTGATTTTCTAGCAGTTTCAAAGATCCGTGGTAGATGGGGTGGATTTGAGACATTGGAAAAATGGGTAACGGGAGCATTTGCTGGCCATACATCAGTGTGCTTGAAGGATGAGATGGGCAATCTATGGGTTGGTGAATCTGGACATGAGAATGAAAAGGTATCACATCGAGGACCTTACATAGTGGTTAAATATAAAGAGTAGTATGTCACAATTTTTTTCAGTATATTATAGTACTAAGGGTTGCACTGTCCTTGTGTTCAAACAGTGTCATGAATTTGAATTGGGTTAAGGACGTACTGTAGCTCATAAAGGAAAAAATGTTGACGATAGGGTGGCACAAGTCCACCCTATGGTATATAGCTTTAGTAAATAAAGATCACCATGTACATTTCATGTTTTTTTTTGCTTGTTGGGTCTGGATTTTATCGTGTAGGTTTCTTTGTTGCCTTTTATCCCTTATTATCAATTGGTATTGCCCTAGTTTTCTACAAGTGACGGTTTCAGGACCAATTGTACATTGAGTTGAAGCTTATGGAAGCAACTCATTTCATGGGTTTTGGATTTATTTGGAATAGAAATTAAGCTAAAAGTTTTGGTTATTGCTAAGAGTGGTGATAGTTGAATTAGGATCATAGTGATAAGCATATGATGAGCGTTTGCTTAGGGACAAAATTAAATAGATGACAACCTAGCACAGATTCTTAATTATCTTCAACTTTGCTCAGTTCGTTTCTTTTTGTAGAGTTATTGTGCGTAGTTTTTTTCTTTTTGTAATTTACATTTATTAATATTGCAGGGTGAAGAGATTATAGCAGTGGTTCCATGGGATGAGTGGTGGGAGTTGGCACTCAAGGATAGTTCTAATCCCCAAATAGCCTTGCTTCCCTTGCATCCAGAGTTGCGTGCAAAATTCAATTCTACTGCAGCATGGGAATATGCTCGGAGCATGTCACGGAAGCCATATGGTTATCACAACATGATATTTAGCTGGATTGACACCATGGCCGACAACTTTCCTCCTCCTCTTGATACTCACTTGGTATGGCATTTACTTCTTTGAAAATTTATATGGTCTAGTACAATAAGCATTATAGAAATTGTTTGTAAATGAAGTGCAGTCTCATTGTGTTGGTTGTCAGTTTATTTTATATTGTCATCGCACACAAGCTTCATAATGCGTATTATGATTAGCATCCACACTTGTACTACGTAGGTATGTATGGTTTTTTGGATGTAGCATGTTTGGTTTTATTAAGTTTTCATTCCACATGTGCACACAAGCTTCATAATGCGTATTATGATTAGTATCCACACTTGTACTACGTAGGTATGTATGGTATTTTGGATGTAGCATGTTTGGTTTTATTAAGTTTTTATCCTAAATGGAAGCTCCTGTTTTCAGGTTGTTTCTGTCATGTCTATGTGGACCAGAATGCAGCCTGCATATGCTGCAAATATGTGGAATGAGGCTCTCAACAAGCGGCTTGGTACAGAGGTAACTGTGCTTCACTTGAGGTTACTATATATCATGTTATTTCACATCGTACGCCAGTCTGTTTACTTCTTTTTTGTTTTATTTTTTAGAAATGAATGATAAGAGGTCTGCTTAGGAATTCTAATTATCTTTTATGTTTATTCAAGTATTTTATCTGCTTGCTTCATATTGAATTGTTTCTCAATTTTCTCTCGTGTTTTCCCTCGTAGGGTTTGGACCTGTATGAGATTCTAGCTGAGGTTGAAAGCCGCGAAATGGCCTTTGATCACTTGCTTACAATTCCTGAACAAGATGAATGGGTATATAGTGATGGAAAATCTACCACATGTGTTGCTTTTATTCTTGCAATGTATAAAGAAGCTGGGATTTTCGGTCCTATTTCCAACTCTATACAAGTTACTGAGTTCACTGTAAGTCATTTTGCACTTAATTTGTTTTCATTCGCTTTCATAAATGCACCATGCCAATATTACTTCATAAGTTCACTCTCTAAGTCACATTATTGCACTTGCTCGCAGATTCGTGATGCATACATGCTTAAGATTTTTGAGGATAACCAAACCCGCTTGCCAAGTTGGTGCAACGGTAAGGATGAAAAGCTCCCATTCTGCCAGATCCTTGGTGAATACCGGATGGAACTACCTCTATATAACACCCTAGAGCCATACGCTAACATGAATGAGCACTGCCCTTCCCTGCCTCCTACTTACGACAGACCCACCCGATGCTAAATCTGAATTCCCTCAAGATTTATACGTCCCTCGTTGGCATGTATGACATAATTTATCAAGTTGCTGGTGTCTTGAGAAAAAATTCAAAAGACGTATAAGTAAGGGGCCGGGCATTTTCTTTCTTTGTTTCTCTTTAGCTAAATAAATGTATATAATTTGTGGATCAAGGAAGGAAATATGTTTACAAACTGTGTTATATCAAAATGGTTGTAATTGTATAGTTTGCTTTTTTCGCACATACTGTGTCTGACTTGGTTATGCAAGATATTTATTTATTCTGAGTTAAGACGTGTAGTCGAAGAGATTCTATCATGCAACCGGGCATACATTCCTCACACGCTTCCGTTTATGCCCAAGAAAAACAAGTTTCAACAGCAAAATGAATCAAAGCGTGACTTGGAAACAAAGAAATCAACCAACTGTTACAGTTCAAATCCGTACGAAATATACAACCAACCTAAATTAAAAAGAATATCGAAGAATTGTGGGTGACTTCTTCTTTCAATGGTTGCTTGCTGCTACTGCTTTCGGCTCGACTTGTACCTGCCCTTGATCCAATTTATGCCCACGTGAGCTGCTATTTTAACCCTATTCATACCATTTGATGCCGCAGTTTTTATTCTTTCAAGCCCTTCTTCCACTTTTTTAGTATGGCTAACCTTGGCGCCGTCACCGGAGCTTGTCTTGGTCTCGGAAACAGGAGCCGAGTCTTGGTTGCTGCTGTCCCCTTGATCTGGCCGTGGCGTCCGATTCGGGCCAGTCGATTCCATCCACACTCAGTTGAAATGCAGAATAAGAGTTTTCTTGGGAGTAAGTAGATTTGCTTGTATTCCAAGTAATCCGTTTTGTTGTGAGGGGGTTGGTTCTTATATATGCATATGGCAGCCTGAATTTGCGGTTATTTTTGTGACGTAACAGAAAACAGAAAGTGTCCCAAAGGAACAGAAGAACCTTCTCTCTTCTCACACACAATTAAATAACGGCATATTTATCGATTTGCCTCCTGAACTTGTATGGAGCTACTAATTTTTCCCTTAAACTTTAATTTTAGTTGATTACCCTCTTGAACTTTTATAATTAGCCAATTTTCCCCTTAAACTATAATTTTAGCCGATTACCCCCTAAACTTTTATAAATAGCCAATTTCTTCCCTTGTGTTAGATTTTAAAAATGTTCATCCAATTTTCCATCCATCTTGATCACGGAAACAATACATGACAACTATATGAGAGCAAAAAGGATGAAAAATTGAATGAAAGTTTTTAAAATCTAACGCGAGAGGGGAATTGGATATTTATAAAAAGTTCACGAGATACTTAGCTAAAATTCAAGTTCAAAGGGGAAATTGGCTAATTGAAAAGATTCAAGTGGGTAATCGGTTAAAATTAAAGTTCATGGAAGAAATTAGCAGTTGCATACAAGTTCAAAGATAAATCAACAAACACCTCTTAAATAACTGACGACGTTGAACCTTCTTGGAAGGAAATAAAGCTCTGTTAAGGGCAGTTGTCACCTTTGGCCTTGCGGAAGGTTCCATATTTTTTGGGGGGGGTCAAAGACGGTTCAATTTTTAACGATATGTCAACAAGAACATGCCCAACTTAGTTACTAACAGATTATATTGTTTATTTTGAAATTATGTTTTCTTGTTAAATAAGCAAATCGGTTTTCATAATTGCGTAGGCTGTTTATATTATATTTCTTGTTGCAGAAGCGTGCAAGTACGGAGAGCTTCAGCAATACGCATAGATTAATACTGTGTAGGTTAACTCCTCAATTAAGTTTTCTATAATGTCTTTGTTTCTGTGCATCAGAGCGAGGTGAAATCAGTATAAAATCCGGTATAGTGTTTATATCGTCCTCAATTTAACCACCTTGTTAAACAACGGATGGGTCCGATGGGTGGAATCTTATATGAGATTTTCCAACTAATTGAATGATGGCGCTTAGAAACAACGGATGGTTCAAACGATTCGTCGAGGATGGATAAATTGTGATTTGATCCGAAGTACCGGAGATTGTTAGGTATCATGAATCAACTAACTAAGTTGATTTGTGACCAAGAAACAAAGCTCTGTTTGGCCTCGACTAGTTTAAATTCAGTAGTAATATATAAGAAAAAGAATTCGAATCACAAACTGAGTAAAATGTTGTATAAAAAAAAACCATAAATTCTTACTCCTATTCGGATACAAATCAAAAAATCATTTATTAACCAGAGTATAAACAATCAAATCCGTGTACAAAATATACAACAAAAACAACAAACAGAAGGTCACAAAAATCAGAGAACGATCAAGCTGTGTAGCTATGTACGTAGCCCTACTGTTTTCCGGTAGTCTTGTGGCACTTGTCCTTGATCCAGTGGAACCCAAATTGAGTCCCGACCTTCACTTTGTTCATGCCGTTTGCTGCAACTGCCTTCGTCTTCCCAAACCCTTCCTCCACTTTTTTACCATATTTCGCCTTTGCACCGCCGCCGGAGCTCTTGGTGTAGGAAGCAGGAAGAGGGTCGGGGTTGTAGTCCCACTGATCGGCCCATGAGTTTTCGTGGTTCGGGATGCTTGCCATTGCTCGCTGAGTAATTGTTTCGAATTTAGTAAGTAAAAATAATGATGGTTTTGGTTTGGGAGGGATTTAGGTCTATATAACCACATATTATACGGTTTGTGTGGCAGCCTGAATTGAAAACGCGGTCTTTCCATGTATTTTCAAAGGCGAACACGTTGTTCATGTGACGACGACTCGCTTGATTACAAGATAGGGTTCCTTCTAATTACAGGAAAACAATTAATTAAATTTAAATAAGTGAGGTTTTGGAACCTTCTGGGGATTAAGAAAAAAGAAATAATTTGATTAGGAACCGTGGAAGTTGTCAAATATGGACTACTGCTGTCGAAGGTTCCATTTTCTACATGTATGTATATAACGCAATGGATGATGTTTAACTGAATGTACAAACGGTTGTAATAAAGTAATGAATTATGATGGAAACCAAGACTTTTGACCTTTCTTATAATTCTTTGGCTTGTTTGTGTTCATATTGGCATATATGTTTGTTCAGGCACTTTATGCAAAAGGATTTTTTTTTTTTTTTTTAACGAGGATTAGGTGTGGAATCTATTTCACATTGAGCTTTAATGATTCGAACTGTTTATTTTGTAAGTCTCGATTTATAGATTATCCTTGCAAAAATTCAATTCAATCTGAAATCATTTACCTATTTAATTATCAAGATAAAATTTCATTGTTTCTTATGTAACATAGTATTCGTTAATTTCTTTGAACTCAATTAGATGTCTTAAACATCTCCGATTTAGCTAATATTTTGCAAGGATAGTCTATGAGGGGTAACTTAAAATATAGACGATCTGGATCGTTAAAGTTCGATGTGATGTGAACCATACAACTAGTCCTCATTTTTTATAACAAAAATAAGGATCTATTCCTTTAAAGGTTTCATGTTTGTTTAATGACACATATAGAACATTACATATATACTACAATCATCTTCAATCATCGGCTGCAATAAGCACTTGATTTGATTCGACAATTGACCTCTCTTCCTACGTGCTTCGTCGGTTTTGTGGTGGCAATTGATTTGTTGGTCCTTGGAGGATGATGCGGCATTTTTCTTTTTTAGTTATGGGGTTCTTGCTGGTGTGATCTCAGGTGCTAGTGGGAGGTGATGGTTCGTATTGATCGTTGCGTGGATTTCTGGAGAAGGCGGCTGCAGCTTCAAGAGCCCTAATTTAGGGTTGTTTATGTGTTGTTTTTATTGTGCAGGTTGGGCTCAAAGGCTGGCTTTAGGCTTTGTCCTCTGTGTTTTTGTAGGCCATCTTTTCTTTTGTGCTTAAATTGTATTTGGGTCTCTGTTGTATTTGTTCTTTGTTGTAATGTAATTTACCCTTCGTCAAAAAAATAAAAACATTTGTTAATTTTTCAATAATTAATTTTGGCTAATTTTTTATTTTAAAAGCGATACTACAAGTCTAAACTAAACTAAGGGGAGGAGGAGAGTTTAAAATTGAAAAACAATTGGGTTGAAGACGAAGATACCGCCCACTAATTGCATTATGCAAATCAATCTAGATTAGATTATATATATTTATTTTTTGGGTGATGCTAGGAAAACCAAAATTTGAAACTAAATAATGTGGTTATTGATGATTGGATTATTACTTAAATGTTGATTAACGTGCTTATTTCTTATTAGTGACACATCATGTGATTTGCATAGGATCCTCTTTGTGAGAGGATCCTAAGGATTTGTGAATTGTGTTCGTTTATCGTACATCATGTGGTCAGTTTTTGTTAGGTACTATTTGTGTTTAATTTTAAATTAAAAAAATTAAAATGATTTTTGACCGCACAATGTACGATGAACAAATATGATTTACAAATCCCCATAATCTTCACAAAGAGAATCCGGCAAGGATTCGGATTTGAAAGTTTTAGTCTAGCTGACATTACCGTTATTTTTTTACTTAATAAGTTGTTATTGATATTTTAAAAAAGTCATTACGCACTCCAAAGTATATTCTTATTCTCTCATGCGGTCTAGCTTGATTGGTTCAATGTGAAAGTAGGAGAAATTTTTAGTTATGACGGGAACACAAGTGGTACACCACGTGTTTTAATAGGAGTGGTGAGAAATTAAAATTTTTAAGTTATTAACTTTTTAGCATACATATCTCACCATGTGTATAATGACATGTAGTGTATCGTCCCTTGTATCGATCACACTGAAAAATCTCTCGTGAAAGTAGTATTATGCCTTTCGATACGGCGTCAGTCCCTAAATGACAAGGATTTAAGGAAATAGATGTATATACACACAACGTCGAATGGCCCCCCAATTATATATGTGGTTGAACTAGCCAAATGCAAATGGCTGCTTTCTCACTTTGGTACTTGTCCTAACTATATATTTGTTCAGCAAAAAAAAAAAAAAAAAAAAAAAAAAGAATGAAGAAGGAATTTAGAAATATACATGTACTTGTCCCCCAAGACAGCACAAGAAACAGGAAACTGACCTAGGACAAGTCTTTAGTAAGATACATCTTGTTTTGGTGTTTGTTTTTTTGGGGGGGTTGGTGGGGTGGTGGGGGTGGTGGTGTGCGGCCTTCCTTGCAAACAAATATCATAAAAAATGATAACTTTAGAAACTAGCCTTTTCCGCATATGTTTTCTCGCATACAAAAGATCTTTTTTTGTTTTATCATGCATGAATGGGGAGAATGAAATTACTCGGTGGTTTTTTCGCAATGAACGGAAGAAATTGAAAAGGGGGAAAACAAATGATCAGTTTTGGTGTGCAGATAAACAAACTCCTTAATAATGTCCAACATGCAAATGGAGAGAACCAAACTGTGCTGACTGGGACACATATATCCCAAAAGTGCAGCAGACGATAAACTAATCAAAATAAACAAAGAGACTGTTGCATGAACGACTGTTAGTAATATATGAACGTGCTACTGTAATTGAAATCGCTTTATAAAATATACAAATACGTACCAAATACTAGTTGAACAAGTTAACCTACATAAAGACCCCATAACATTATTGGCTGTGTGCGCGACCAACAGATAATATGATTGATATAGAAAGATGAATCTTCGGGGATGGGGCCAACCAGATGTACATTTCTTAATCAGTTATTTTGTTACACGTCGACGTTTATAAGCTCAACAACATCCACAACTCCTCCTGGGGATCGATCGTTACGTGATCAGGAGTGCAAAAGCAGTTCAACCCCCAACTTTGACCGTTTTTCACTTTCAATTCGCATATCATCACTAAATTAAACGATCCAAGTCAAAACATATATCCATCTTCCATTCATTTTCCTTTTTCTTTCTATTTCTTTTTGTTTTCACACATATACTGTATCCATCATTTTAATTTTCATGAATACAAATACGTAGAATCAGATAAAAATTATTTCGGATAGCGTCACTTGATTAGGGTCATGCTGGTATTGGTTAAAATCAATGTAGTATCGTATAAGACCAAATTATTCAAAGTTGTGCGTACTTAACTTTCTTAAAAATAATGTTGAGTATTTTATCAAATTCCAGTGTATAGAGTTTTTTTTATCGTCAAATCATGTTCATTGTGTTCTTAACAAATGATGTAACCGTGAGCATTTGAATGCAAAATACATTATAACATGCTAAAAAATCCTATAAGAATCTACAAAGAAGCTTCTATCACACAAGCATTCGAAGCTCCGTTTGAAACCCACACCTAAAAGAAAATAAAAATCAAACACGCAATTCAATTTATTAATTTTGATTGACAAAGACTTCTAAAGACATATTCACCAAGTTGGACAAATATTGAACCCTACACAAAGTCTTCGCCGCCCCTAACTTTTCTTTTTAATATCTCCATCTCCACTCTTACTTTCTCAAACTCCAAACTTCCCTCTTAAAATCAATCTTCAAAAACCTCACAACCACTAAAAATCCAAACAAAACAAAAAACCTAAAGTTAATCATGACGAATCTCCAATTTCCACTCCACCTTTTCGCCATTGCCCTATGCCTCTCATCACTTTCGCAAACCTCAGCTCGCTTCTTCCCCAACATCTCCTCCATACCATCCTACCTCGTCCCAAATGCCACCATTCCTGGTGCTTGGGACGCCTTCAAAAACTTCGGCAACTGCCACGCCGGCGAAAAAGTCGATGGCCTCGGTAAGCTCAAAAAGTACTTCAACCGCTTTGGCTACATTCCAAATTTACCTACAGCCAACCTCACCGACGACTTCGACGACGACCTCGAAGCCGCCCTTAAAACCTACCAAACGAACTTCAACCTCAATGTCACCGGTGAGCTCGACGGCCCCACCGTCGAACACCTCGTCAAACCCCGATGCGGCAACCCCGACATAGTCAACGGCACCACCACCATGAACTCCGGAAAACCAGCGTCGTACAACGCCACCAAGTTCCATACCGTCTCTCACTACACTTTCTTCCCCGGCACGCCCGTCTGGCCGCAGAACCGCCGCGACCTCACTTACGCTTTCGTGCCAGAGAATGAGCTCTCCGACCCGGTAAAAGCCGTGTTCGTCAGCGCCTTCCAACGGTGGTCGGAGGCGACGACGTTGACTTTTACAGAAACTACCACTTTCGACTCGGCGGACATCAAGATAGGATTCTTTAAGGGCGACCACGGCGACGGCGAGCCGTTCGACGGGGTTTTGGGGACTCTTGCGCACGCGTTCTCGCCCCCGAGCGGGAGGTTCCACTTGGACGGCGACGAGAACTGGGTCATCACCGGTGACATCAGCAAATCCTCCATGACGTCGGCCGTTGATCTGGAGTCCGTCGCGGTGCACGAGATCGGACATCTGTTGGGGTTGGGGCACTCGTCGGTGGAGGGGGCGATTATGTACCCGACGATCGCGTCGCGGACGAAGAAGGTTGAGCTAGCAAACGACGACGTCTTGGGAATCCAGTCGCTGTACGGCGCCAATCCCAGTTACGACGGTACGACTAGTTCGTCTACGCCGTCCAACCAGGCGAGGGACACGTCTGCTGCAGGGGACCACCTGGGTTCCACTCCGCGTTTGTGGGGCCCCAGTGTCGTGTTGGCAGTTGGATTCCTGTTACTATTGTTTTAGTTTTTCTCTTTAATTTCTGGTTTATTGACTAGGATTAGATTTACCGATTATTTATTACATTTTTTGGTTTGGATTTGGCACCGTACACAGATACAGTTGAATACAGTTAGGACGAACAGATACTGTCAGCAGTATAGTTGAATATACAGTTTTTTCATTTTTTTTTATAAAGAAAATTATATTTTTATTTTCTTCCACCAATATCCTTACAATGTTTGCTTGTTCGTGACTTGTCCACCGAGCCAATAATTGGTCCTCTCATTTTCAGTAACAAGGAAAAATGTTTTTCTTTGATAATATTACATCATTTAGCCCTACAGATGTTATGATTGAAGTCATTTGTTCTTTTTACGTAGTAACTTTTAAGCGTTCGAATGAATTAGAAAAAAATTGACCCGTTAATCATAAAGATATTACTTATGATCATAACTGTTAATTTCTTTAATTCATATAGATATTTAAACAATCTGATTTTTGTGCTATTATATATTCTACTTTTTCTTTAACACTATTCTTAAATTTTTGTTTAAATGAAAGCTAACACAACATAACGTTGATTTAATCAGCCCTTTTTTGAAAAAATAATAGAGATCTTTTGACATAGGCGCCTTAATTTTGCTTTTAGTGATTTGATTAAACTGTTTTTTTTTGTCATAATTTTGGTTCTATATGCACATTATATTGTAACAAAATTCCTATAATCTAGCATTTTGATTACACTCTCCTCTATTAGAGATAATTGTAAAAAAAAAATTAAATTAAATTTTTTTTTTTTTTAAAAAAGTTGGTTTGATTCAAAATTATTTTCACAATAATGCTACAATTTAGCTATAAGATCCCACATAGCCCATAGGTGTGGATCCTGAAGCCTTATATGTATATTCCCATCTGTACCTAGCACGAGGCCTTTTGGGAGTTCACTAGCTTCGGATTCCGTAGGAACTCCGAAGTTAAGCGAGTTCGTGCGAGGTCAATCCCAGGATGGGTGACCCACTGGGAAGTTCTCGTGTGAGTTCTCAGAAACAAAACCGTGAGGGCATGGTAGGGACCCAAAGCAGACAATATCGTGCTACGGTGGAGTCGAGCCCGGGATGTGACATTAGCAATAATTATCTACGATTTAAGATATTTTCTTTCCAAAATAATTTAAAATATTTTTAAATCCCCCAAAATCAAGCGAAAGAAAATTTTCTTTTAGTACTTTAAGAAAAAATAGGATTAAGAATAATATAAACGTACCAATACACAATGTGTACAAAAAAAAATAATGTACCAATATTAACAATATCTATTAAATCAAACGTACCAAAATTGCAAATAAACGTACCAATTAATAATTTTTGTAAATTCAAACGTACCTGCATATAATATATACGTAATGTATTGTACCTAATAACAATTCGTCAACAACTATAATTAAAAAAACAGCAAAAATATATATATAATTTCACAAAAAAATTGAAAAAACTACACAGAGCTTTTATGTTGATCACCAACTATTTGAAAAAGAAAAAACCATTTGGAAAAAAAATAATATTAAATTTTTACATAACCAAAAAAAAAAAAACTGTGATTGAAAAAATATATTTGGAAGAAGAGAAGATATAATTTAATTACTAATATCTCTACTAAATAAGGAAAAGTGCATCATGTAGATAAAAGGATAAATTTAGAAATTATTTTAATTTTAAAAAATAGAGGTGACTATTGGTCAAAACACTTTAATCAAATTTAAAAAAGACACACATGTTTAATCTAAATGATATATATAAAAAAACTGTAGGAATTCTAATTTTCCCAAAATAATAATAATTACAACGAATGATCCCTAATCCTGGTTACATGTAATATATGACTCCATGGCATCCCCGCAGCTGATCTTATAGGAACCTTCGATCTTAACTTATCCTTTTCTTCTCCAATTTTGACGAAATTAAGGGTAACTAATTTCTTTTGCATTTAGGTACTACTGGTCACCCTCAATGAGCCAAAGTTTGGCAGCCGGTAAAGAAAATATATACCAGCGGAATCTTACAAAAAACAATGTGAAATGACATTGATGATGTTACTTGGTCGACAAGTTCAAGAGTTTGAAAGAAGAAAAGCACTGGACCCACGTCCACCAGATTATTCAACCTTTTCAGTTTTAGACGAGAACATATATAGATCAATCGTGCATCAGTGCAAACTAATCTAATAATCTTTTTTTGTTTTCTCAGTGAAGAATACCTTTATAAAGGTCAGCTCCTTCATGAGTTGATTTTAGTGTTTCTTAAGAAACAATCCAAAGCACGCTACATGTTAAAGTATAGAATACAGCCCATCATCAAAGGATCAATTTCACATGGGATGTATATATGTCCCAACTTCTAAGCGCTTCAACCTAATCAGCTACGGACTACACAGACCCCATAATATTGCTACTTCAGCTGTATTAGCACCAGCATACAAAGCCAGTGGCGTTCATCAAATCGTACGTGAACCCATAAATCCTTAACTAATTATTAGGCACGGCCGATTGATACGATAGGACATCTCACTGCCGGAGGCAGATTCTCTGCCCTTCCACTTTCCGTGCCTTCCTATTTTGTGTGGTCACGGTTAAACTACATCAACATTTTATATTTTTTTTTTATAGAGATAATAAGATAAAAAGAAATAGTAATATAAAATTTTAACATAATTTAATCGTAACAGCACAAACAGAAAGAGACGAAAAGTGTGGAAGAGAAGAGAATCTGCCCCCTCGCTGCCATCCTACACCAGTACCTACTTTTGGTGGAAGAATCTGGCTTTCTCTTGAAATTCTATATTATATATATAATAACCTAGCGTCTCAAAAGAAGGTACTTGCACATTTCGAGACTCGATCGACAAATTAAGCTTCTCTACGTTTCAGGTCATTTCGATCTCTGTATAAGAATGTAAACTCCATCATATAGTTGTAGCTGCGTTTTCTCTATTTTCCTTTTCAATATTATGGGACTTGTTCCTTTCCCCTTGCCCTGTCACACAAAAGAATCTACTGAAGAATCCTTAACCTCTAGCTCCACGACATCCGGTCTTCACTCTGTGTCATCAACCTCCTCCTCCCTATCGTCCCAGCCAAGTCTCCCTTCTGTTCTTTCTCTTACTCCATCAAAATCCAACCAATTAGAAGTACTGGGATCCCCAAGTGTCCACCACCACTGCATAGCCACCCTCCAATCCCAGTCATACATCTGTACCTTAGCCCTTTCTGGAAACTTCTTATACAGTGGCTCATCCGACGGCCGGATTACAGCGTGGAGTAGTATCCTATCACATCCTTCAAATCCACGGTACAACAAGGTGGTAGCCACTCCCAGCACTGTAAAGTCTCTGGTGGTTGTTGGGAGCGGGGACGACCGCAACAAGCTCTTATTCAGTGCTCACCAAGACCATAAAATCCGAGTCTGGAAAATCAACACGACCGACACGCATGAAAAACTAAAATGTATAGCCACACTCCCAACTCTAAATGACCGTGCCACAAGATTCTTCTTCCCCAAGAACTACGTGCAAATCCGGCGCCACAAGAAGTACACCTGGGTGCACCACGTCGACACCGTCTCCGCTCTAGCCATATCCAACGACGGGTCGTTTCTCTACTCCGTTTCATGGGACCGGACACTCAAAATATGGCGGACTTCCGATTTTAAATGCTTGGAGTCGGTGAGCAACGCCCACGACGACGCCATCAACGCCGTCACTTTTTCACGTGACGGAACGTTTGTATACACCGGCTCCGCGGATAAGAAAATAAAGGTGTGGACGTGGAAGAAAGACAAGTCAATGTCAGTGAGGCTTGTTGGAACTCTAGAGAAGCACAAGTCAGCTGTGAATGCCTTGGCTTTTAACACCGACGGGTCCGTGCTGTACTCCGGTGCCTGCGACCGGTCGATTTTGGTTTGGGAAAGAGATGGTGGTGCGGACGGCGGTGGGGGGCACATGGTGGTGGTGGGTGCTTTGAGGGGACACACAAAGGCGGTATTGTGTTTGTCGGTGGTGGCAGATTTGGTGTGTAGTGGGTCGGCAGATTATAGTGTTAGGGTTTGGAGGAGATTATCGTCAGGGCTAGTTGGCGATTATCGTAATAGGAGTTATTGCTGTTTGGCTGTGTTGGAAGGTCACAGGCGGCCGGTGAAGTGTTTGACTGCAGCTGTTGATAATACTGATTCTGATTATTCTGGTGATTCTTATTTTGTTTATAGTGGCAGCTTGGATTGTTATATTAAGGTCTGGCAAATACGGGTCCCCTTTTCATAATTTGTATTTATTTAGGTTCTACAATATTTTTTTCTGGACTTTAAACAATTTTTTATTTATTTTGGTTCTACATATTATTAGAGTGAGAAAAAATCCTCATGTATATAGCTCTCCAAAGCTGTACAAAACGATCGAGAAAATAAAACTAGTACTACAAAGTTTGCGTTTGCCATTAACATATACATAATGCTGCTATTTCAATCAAACTTACTCATCACATTACTGATTACTTTTCTAAGCAAGTGATGAATTACTTGAAATTAGGTTAGAATCCATTGAACCTAATTTTTTAATAAGTGTTACAGTTTTCCTTTTCTTTGTTGTTACATGTGAAGATTCTGGAGATGGAATTTTGGGAGACAATATGATAACCCCATCTAATCAATTGATAATATTCCTCTTAAAGACAACTTATTTTACTCATGAACTTTTGGAGGATGCTAAGGAAATCAACTATTTAAATCAAATTTTGTAAACTATATGACATAGTGGTTAATAATTTGATTATTATTTAAATGTTGATTAACATGCTTATTTTTTATTGATGAAACATCACATAATCTGTAAATTCGGTCTAAAAAATTAGTCTACCTAACATATTTACTTGATTTTTAGAAAACATGCCAAACATCCATTGCCCCATTTTCTTGAAACACCCCCATCAGCTGTCATGCACGTTGAAACGCTAGCATACTACTGCACCCATATACAATGTCTTCTATTCAAAGCTTTTAATTACATGAAGAAAGCTAATTAAGCGTTTTTAAATACTTCTATATTTGATAAAGTAAAATCACCACTTTCAAAATTCAACCTAACCTTCGGTTCAACCTACCTAACGTAGGTTTAAATATTTGAAATATATTTTGCAAATGAAGAAGTCCACAATTTGTCAAATCATGAGTACGTGCGTGTTGAAAAATAATATTCGATTCGTTGTTTGAGAATGGACGGAGAAACCATTTAACCTAACACAATATCATATAATAGTAGAAAAGATTAATAATATTAATTATGCAAGTAATGCTTACGTGCCTGTTCATAACAAAGTTCCTTAAACGTTGACATTAACCTACTTCTTAACTTATTAGAGATTAATCCTATGAATATCAAATTTAAGTAACTGCAGTTTGGTGCCATATATTTTATGTTTATGAGGACAAACAATAATTAAACCTAGTGGCTCAATTATTGCTGAGTTTTATTTGTGTGTTATTTTCGCACTCTGATTTCCTTTTTCAAATCTTCTTTTTTGTTTATTTAATGTGAGAAGGAGAAAACCGGAATGGAAATCATTCCCTACTGGAAGTATTTTGGGCTGAGCTCATTGCTGCATGTCTCGTCCCATGATCCCAAATTTTGGGCTATTTGGCTATGTTTTCGGACCTGTTTGAGAAGACGTTTCGAGTTAGCCGACGAAGAAGTAAAAACGAAGTATGGTGTGAAGTCAACAAGTGGTTTGACTTTTTATTCCTTTTCGTTTCGGTTCCTAGTTGCTTTCTAGTCACACTTCTACGTTATCATCTCTACCACACAACAATCATGTCCAACTTTAACCCACATTCTCATTGCACCGCAAATTCCTCTCTTCTGTCCTAAAGATATAGATGAGGAATGAAACTAGTTAGTCCCCACCTCCAAATCTACCAAGAAAAATTTCCTCATAAGCAAAGAAAAATGAAGTAAAGAGACAAAAAAGATGAATACCTCTGTGCTGGTGCAATCTTACGTAAGAGATTATACTCATGAGAGAAATTTGACTAGTGTGGGACGGCTCATAATATGGACTGGAGCATATGATCGTTGGCCTCTTAATAATTGAATTTCTGGCTAAGTAATCATAATGGTCATAAATCTCTGTCCATTTTATGAAATAGTCCATTTTATAACTTCCGTTTTAACTCCCTTGTAGAAATTATTCTATTTAGTCCGTTGATGAGGGTGAATATAATAACGGGTAAGAATAAACCAGAACTGCATGGTTCAAAGCTCTATTTTTAATCAAAACTATAGTCCTTTGGTTTAACTGGTTTTGAAGTTTAACAAAAGAAAGAAAGAATTACCTAGGGCTGGAGTAAATTTGTTGTGGAGCCCGACATGGTGGCTGCCGTGTCTTTATTTTTTGAGAAATGCTAGGGGGACTCTTTATAAGATGAGACTCTTTATGACTCTTTGTCATTTCATGTTTTTGCCACATTGTTTTATATGTTGGAACGAGAATTGATATTAAACTGTGAAGAATCAGAGAGTCCATAAAAAATCTCACGTTTGAGAGAGCCCCATAACATTTCTCTTATCCTTTATGCAGTATTCTACTCCATGGCTCCCCCAAATTTATGAAAAGGATTAAATTTGATTCCAAAGAGTATGACTTTTTGGGTTGGCCCAGGAAATGGAATCATAATCATAGCCGTGGCAAAGTAACTAAATGTATTGACATGATGATCACCTTCTTCTTGTAGCTCTGGAAGATTTTAAATTCAGCAAAAATTTATGTAGCTTATATGAACAATCGATTAATGAGCCTCACATGCTGATGCTTCCCCTTCTATATATGACTTAGCCAAAATTCTTGTACATTCTTGCTCTTCAATCATTTTTGTGAAGTTCGTCTTAAATCTCTGTAATTTAATAAAACGTGGTTAATTGCATTGTAGAACCTAATTAACCCTTACACCAAATGTTTTGCTTAATTAAGTTTCCCCCTTCAACTTTGTAGAAGTTCGTAGCTAGCAAGCAGAAAGAAAAGGAAACAAAAGTTACTTAAGTATCTGGTCACTTTTTATCAATGAGATGACAGAAGAACTGGCCTCAATCAGGAGCTGAAATCATCACCTTGAGCTATTAATCTCGATCTGTTTTATCCAGCTCCTTTCAATTGCTTAATTATCTTCAGCTTCCTATGGTCCTAACCATAATCATTCAGTTTTGTAATTATTCTCATCGCAATCAACATTTCATGATTAGGGCAAAACCGACAATTAATATATATTAGATAAAATCCAGTGATTCAGTCATTTTATCTGCCTTTTAACCAGTCCTTCTCATTTCTGTAACTCTACCTTCATTGTACAGATGAAACTTTGTTTTCTAACCATATACGGATCATGACTCATAATCATATAGAAGCAAATTATGCCCAATATGTAATAGAACTTATACAACGTAGATATATTGAATCGAATTGGAATGTAATAATTTGTAGCAGATATCTAATAAAAGGCAAATATATAGAAAATTAAGTAATTAAAGGCTGGTTGAATAACCATTTTGTTTTTCTTTTTCAGTTTTTTATTTTTGTGCGCTTTCACTACAAAAAGAAACGACGTAGGAGACAAAAAGAATTCATGTCTTAAGGATAACGTTCGTTGCGAAGCAATTAAGGCGACTGACTTCCGTCGGGTAAACTTGGTCGCGCAAAAGCTGTCCTAAGATATGTTTGCCGACAGATACAAATATTCGTAGGGCAAGATGCAGCCTCTTCATATCCACCAATAAATATCTAGACCAACAAATATGTAGTCTAGGTTAACGGATATTCATTCAATAGAGCGTTCAGGAGAGGCGATGTTGTGGTCTCAGTAGAGCACCCTTATCTGGTGGTCTTGGTAGCACACCTTGGTCTAGTGGTCTCAGTAGAGCATCCTGGTCTGGTGGTCTCAGTGGAGAACCCTTGTATGGTACAACACCGACCACTAGAGAGTAGGCCATTAGAGAGCTAATCATTTGGAAGAGATGGTCTATCATGTGTCAAAGAGTCTCCTCCATCCAACAACATTGACCTGGTCCTAAGTTAAAGAGTCTTCCCTCATAATGATGACATGGCAAGAGTGGAGCCGAGTCATTCCAGAAACCCGCGTTAACAAATTACTTTTGAAAGGGAAAATATCTACCAACAAAAAAAAAAAAAAAAAAAAAAATTTAAGGAACAATGTAAAAAAAATTACTTCACAAGCACAAGGCTATCAATGTCCAATTAATTAAGTAATGTTTCCATCTTAAAAAAAAATAATAATAATTAACAGAAAAAGAGGCAAAAGATTGTAAAGGTAAAAACACAAGCATATTTCTCCGGTGCCCTACTCTCTCTCTCTCCCTCTTCTCTGTACATTAAAAAACAACGCCTCTCTTTTAGCCTTTTAGGTGGTCGAAGTACAATACAACAAAGGGTTATTAGATCAAAAACTTTCTGGAGTTTCGGAGAGAGAAAGTCGACAGTGTGATGGTATAGCATTGTGATAATTACCTATCCATGTGGAACAACAAGTAATATTAGCCATCAAATTTTCTCTTTAAATCTCTTCACTCCCTTCAACGCAAAAATAAATAAATAAATAAATAAAACACAATAACCACAACAAGCTCAGCAATAATCATCATGTCTTCTTCTCCCCTCTTCCTCTCATCATTAACCCCTCCTCACTCTTATCATCATCACCAGTGCTCCTCCTTAAACCACCCACCAAGACCGCTCTCCACCTCCAACTCCACTCAAAGAAAGCGAAAGAAGAAAGCCAGAGAGAGATCAGACGACTACTAGATTGAGAAGATATCGGTTCACTCAAGAAGAAGAAACCCTAGCTAGCTAGCTAGGGTGCTCTCTCCCCTGATCTTCTTCTTGGATCGATATAGACTAGCAGCAGATTTTGATGTTAGTTTCTTTCTTCTTTTGAGATCTCTTGGGGAATTGAAGCGTTGTGGTCCGATTGTTTGCTAGATCAAGCAAATCTCTACGCAAGGTTGAAAGTTTTCTCTATATGAACGATGGATTGCTTTTAATTTGTTGGTCTCTTAATTGGATTTGTAAGGGTTAGTCATATATATATATATATGTATGTATGTATGTATGTTTTGAGCTTTAAAGTTTGGTTGATTGAATAACTGATATACCATATGTTGTGTTGTGTGCTGCTTATGCTGTAAAAGAATATTATGTACGTTCTCTCTCAATTTCTCTCTCAATTTCTCTCTCGATCGATCTCTTCCTACAAATGAATATTGTGATTCTATGAATCTATGGTTGTTATTTGTCACCTGTGGATGCTAGTGGATTCAATTTTCGAGAGAGCT